AGGACCAGGCAGTGGGACTGAGCTCTCAACCTTCAGGACTTATTACTGCAGGTAGGTAGTATCTCGAGGTAAGTAGTATCAGAATCGAAATGGGAGACATCCAGTTGGTGACCCCTTGCTTGGTTGTTGGTGGGATGAAAACACCATCCTTATATACTTTAGTGACCAGAGGTGACAAAAGTGTTGTGTGTTGTATTGAGAATACAGAATAGGAAGAGTGCTTTGGTTCCTCACCTGCCCCCACAATAGATCTTAGAACATGTGTTCGTGTCCTGTGTGAGGGTTTATTGAAAGGTGAACTCAGCAGAGGAGGACTTCAATAACCACACAGTTACTAATCAGCCTCTTTCTCCAATCACCCCTATCATCAACTAATAGGCCTATGAACAAAGTGGCCAGTTTGGAAGGGATGGAAGTTACGCATGAACTCAGTAGCCTGGATTCCACTCACCAAGGCTACAGCCACTGCTAAGTGCCCAGAATGCCAGCAGCAGAGATCAACATGGAGCCTCCACTATGTAACTATTTCCTGGGCTGATCAGTTAGCTATCTGGTTGCAGATTGATTACAGAGGACCACTTCCATCATAGAATAGGCAGCATTTTGTCTTTATTGGAATAGACATTTACTCTGGATAAGGACTTATCCTCCCTGCATGTAATGCTTCTGCAAAACTACCACCCATGGACTTATAGCATGTCTTATCCACTGGCATTCCACACAGCATGGTTTCTGACCAAGGAACTTACTTTATAAAGTCTGGCAGGAGGCTCATGCTCATGTACTTAACTCTTCTTACCATATTTCCTACTAAGCTAAAACACTTGGCTTGATGTAAAAGCCTTCCGAAAATTCGTTTTAGCACCAACTAGGTGACAATACCTCGATGGGCTGAGGCAAAGTTCTCCTGAAAGCTGTGAATGCTCTAAATCGGCATCCAATACATAGTATAGTTTCTCTAATAGTAAGGATTCACAAATTCAAGAATCAAAAAGTGGAAATGGAGTAGTACCATCATTACCCTTAATGACTTACTAGAAAAAATTTTTGCTTCCTGTTGCCAAGACTTGGTGCTCGGCTGTTCTAGAGGGCTCATTCCTGAGGAATGGTTCCACCAGGTGACATAAAAATTCCATTGAGCTGGAAGTTAAGACTGCAACCCAGCCATTTTAGGATACTCATGTCTTTAACTCAATAGGCTAAGAAGGGAGTTGAGATGTGGGTTGGGATAATTGATCCAGACTTCCATAGGGAATCGAACTGCTCTACTACGATGAAGTTAAGAGCGACTATTCCTCAAGTGCAGCTCTTTTAGGATGTGTCTTAGTGTTACCATACCCTGTGATTAAGATGGTAAACAACAACCCAATCCAGGCATGATTATGAAAGGCCCAGACTAAAAAATGGTTTGGATCACCCTGTTAGGTAAAGATCCATGGGGCTTGCTGAAGGTAAAGAATATATATATAATGCGTAGTAGAGGGTAATTATAAATACTAGCTAGCTGACTAGATATAGAAAAATGGCTTTAACTGCTCTTTCATCTCTATTTTGTAGAGTATGCTTACATGTATATACGCATCTATTAAGCAAATCTTTTTTCCCCTCTAACTCCTTTATCATGTGACATAAGATGTATTGAGTTTACATCAGTATTTAAGTGTTGTTAATTTTACAATATAGACTTTAAATTATGACCTATCTGGAGAAAGCAAGCAGGGAAAAGAGGAGTTCTCTCTCTGCTGGAGTTGTGACATCATCTTCTCCTGCCTTTGGGTAGCAGAACTCCAGATCCTCCAGCCTTTGGACTTCACACTGGTTTTCTGGCCTTTGGCCTCAGACAGAGGGCTACACCACTGATTTCCCTGCTCTGGCTTTTAAACCTGGACTGAGCCACCCTACCAGCTTTTTAGATGGCTTATTGTAGGACTTCTCAGCCTCCATTATTATGTGAGCTAGCATTTCTAGTAAATCTTCTCCCCTCTTTCTCCTTGGAGCACTCTAATACAATGTTTCTTTTGTATAATATATTTTTTTTCTTCTCTGGTCTGACTTTACTTTTCAGACCATTTTAATGTCATCTGACTACATGACTGCTTTTTTAACACTCTTAAAGTTTTCCAATTCTGTTTTTCATCATTGTTGATTCACAATCACTCATCAGGATATTGAAACTTATACTGAAAGAATCAAACAATATTCTGAAGGAGACATCAGCAAGATTGTGGAGTAGGAAGCCCCAGCCCTTGTTCCCCAGAGTTAACAATATACAGACTAAAATCCCCTTATGAGAACTTGGGAAACCAGTTAAGAAGCTGTAGTACCCCAGGTTGAGTGCAAAACAGAGAAGGTCTGCAATGAAATGGGTAAGAATGGTTCCACTTTACCTGTGATTGCTCCTCCCAAGTCATCATAACTCAGCACCTACCTGCAACTTCACCCTGGGCAGGGAGAGTGGAATGTGTCTAATATTCTGGTTACTCAGGGGCTGGTTTCTGGCTCCTGACTTGGAGTGCTGACAGTAACATAGGTTCGAAATCTGGTGGCTGACAGAAAGCAAGAAAGAGGGGGTGGCTTTCTGTGGCACCAGAGGACCTGAGAGCTGCAGAAGTCTGCACAGCTCAGCACAATAACAATTAGGAGAAACTGCCTAACTTGAAGCTTCATTTTGGGAATGGAGGGATAAAAGTGGAGTATGTATCTATGTAGATCTCCAGAAAGCTGCTTGTTGAGGGATTTGTATCTGTCTTGTATAATGTGGAGTTCTTATGGGGAATGTCATAGTTTGGACCCCTGGAAACTCTGGTTCCCCCTTTGTTCTCAAGGGAGAACAAAGGAGAGTCGGTGACTAGCTACTACAGCAAGAGAACCTGCAGTACTGAACAGAGACATCAGGGAGGACCAGAGTTTTAAACTCCTGAAAAATAAAATTTCAAACCTTTCTATATGAGAAATTACAAGCATAAACCCATAGAAGTTGATACAACAAGGCCCCCAGAACTCCTATTTACACTGATTAGTTAAGATTTCCTGTCAAAATCAATTCACAAAGACAGAGAGGTGGCTGGTTTTTCTTTCTTTCTCTTTTTTTTAAAATTTAAAATATTTCATTTTGTTTAGTTTGAGATGGGGTCTTAATGTTGTTTGGGCTTGCCTCAAATTCCTGGACTTGAGTAATACTCCTGCCTTAATCCAGTTTCCTAGGACTATAGCATGTGCCACCTCACCTGGTTCATGGTTTTTAATGCACAAATCTCAGAGGGAAGGAAAAAAAAAAAGGTACATGAAGAAACAGAAACATGGCCCAAAGGGCAAACATAAATCCCCAAAGAAATGGCATCTATGAATTACCTAACAAAGAATTCAAAACAATCACCTTAAAGACATTCAGTGATCTATAAGGGAAAATGTACAATTAAATTAGGAAAACAGTGCATGAAAAAAACAAGATTATCAACAAAAAGAAACTATAAAAAAGCAACCCTGAAACTGAAGAATATATCACTAAATTGAACAATTCACTAGGGGAGTTCAACACCAAACTTGAGCAAGTAGAAGATTCAGAAAGCTTGAAGATAATCCTAAGGGACTGTGGAACATCATAAAGAGGTCCAATACACAGACACACATCTTCTCCAAAAGAAGAAGAAATAAGAGAGCTTATTTGAGGAAAGTATGATCAAACCCCCCAAATTCAGGAGTTAAACAACAGTCTCCTAAACTGGATAGCTGACTATATTTTTAAAGGATTTAAATTTATCCACTACTTAAAGTTATTTTTGTTCAGTGAAGAAATAAGCATGAAAAATATTTAACCTGGGTGCAGTGGAATACATTTATAATCCCAATGACTCAGGAGGTGGAGGCAGGAAAATCAAGAGTTCAAGGACAACTCAGTGAGACCCTGTCTCAAAAAATAAAAAGGGCTGGGGATAAAGCTCAGTGGTAGAGTGCTTTCCTAGTATGTGTGAGGCCCTGAATTCAATCTCCAATACTGGGTAGGGGTGGGAAGGGTAGGAGGAGAATCAAACCTGCTGCTCTGTTTTATATGGGTAACGTCTGAGGAGAAAAGGTTATAAAAAGGGACAATTTCCCCTTAACCCTAATAAATTCCTATGACAATATATTAAAAAAAATTTTTTTTGTAGTTGTAGATGGACATCATGCCTTCATTTTATTTATTTTTTTATGTGGTGCTAAGGATCAAACCCAGTGCCTCACACATGCTAGGCAAGTATTCTGCCACTGAGCTCCTCTATGTTAAGGGAAAATCACATTAACTCTGTCCTATAACCCTAGGAAGTTGCTATTTTAAGTGGTTTTTCAAAATCATGATATAAAATATTGGATATTCTTTAAAAACATAAAGTATGGACCCTAGAAAAATAAATCCACATACAAACGTTTGCCTAAAATTTCAGAAGTTTTACAGCTTGTTTAAAACCCATCCATATATGCCTAATATATCTGTGGGAACCTCAGGTTCACACAACTTGAGTACTGTTTCCTCATGCCTAAATTGAAGAGGTAGGATAAATGATCTATGAAGTTCTTCCACTGAAGTGCAATGAAGAACAAAATCTAATAATATTCTAACCTATTTGGAATACTTGCATGGGGAATGGGATGAGTTGGTTAACAGAAAAGTCAGAAAGAAGTTTTGTAGTTATTAAAGCATAAGGAAGATTATGACCACAAGTTAAGAGGAAAGAGCTTCTGCTATCCTTTAAGAATTTAAGAAAATATGTGTATAATTTCATAGCAAAATCCTGAAAGACAGCACGAAGAGAGAATCTCACTAAGAAATCTTTAATAGTACACGGAGTTGTGATTCAGAAATACTAATTAAACATTTAATGAATGTTCAAGGTATTAGATAAAAAAGTTTATAATTTTTAATAAATGTAAATAATTTATAATTTTTAATAAAAGTAAATAATTTTTAATAAAGTCAAAAGTGAATAAGTTTACATTAATAAAAACATACAATTTATGAGAAGAAATTTCCTTCAATAATTTTATTCTTTGCAATATATATAAATAAATAATACAATTAAACTTTTTAAAAAAGTGTTACCACATGCAAGAAGAAGGTATAGCTGTCATTATTCTAAATTATTGGAATAAATTAATTTGTTGTTCCTTTATTTTCTAATTCTAGTGGCAAAGTGAAAAATAAATTGAAGTTAAGTTGGATTGTGACATCACTGCCATGAATAGACACACATAGTAAGAGCATCATTTCCAAACATGGAATGCAAGGCCTCCAGAAAAGTGACAGAGGGGAGCCTACTGAGTTTTGCACTCGGGTGCATCTTTTCCGGAGGTGTACCAAGGACCTGGCTTAGGATCCACACATTCTGCTCCTATGGTTTGTTCCTCTGACAAAGAAAATAAAAGCCAAAATTAATCCTGTTAAAGAGATATCAGTTATCTGTGATCTATCATGGTACAAAAATACTAAATAGAAAATTCTAAAAATAAAAAATTCAGAACTTTTAAATAGCATGCCACATTGAGTGGTGATGAAATTCATTGTTCCACTCCATCCCACCCTGGTGTATCCATGCTGTATGCATGTTCTACCACACTCCAGTCACCTGGCAGCCATCTCAGTTACCAGATGGACTGTAGCAGTATTGCAGTGTCTGTGTTCAAGTAACCCTTATTTTACTTAACAATGGCCCTCAATTGCTTAAAATATTTCAAAGACTACTTCCACCTACTCTCAGGGTAACTAAAAATTCCTTTATGTAATTTATGGAAGTCCTGCACATCTGACTTACCTCTTTCTCTCTTTGGCCTGGCTTTATCCACATGATTGCTAGCCTGTTCAGTGGTGACACCACATTTCTCTACCCCTGGTCCTGGTCTCTCCTACACTGAGGCTGTCACTGTTTCATCTGCCTGAAATTTCTTTCCCTCCCCCACTTTGTTAAGCTAATTCACATTAGTCTTTTATATCTCAGTTCCCTTCCTGGAGGAAGACTTCCTCAATATTCCTAAACAACAATAACAACAAAAGTACCTATTATATGTCTCATAGACTTTTATATTTCTAAAACTTTACTTAAAAAATATAATTTTCCCCTGATTTATGATTGAGTTACATCCTAATAAGCGCATTTTAAGTAGAGATATCTGAAATAAAAAATGCATTTAATACCTTCATCTATAGAATGTCATAGCTTACTTATCTAACCTACCTTAAATATGCTCAGACCAATGACATTAGCCTACAGCTAGACAAAACAATATAACACAAAGCCTACTGGTGAATACTGAATACCCTGTGTAATTTTTTGGAATACTGTCCAAAACTGAAAATCATAATACTTACATGGGTATGCTTTCACACCACTGCAAAGTCAAAAGATCCTGTGGTTAACATAGTAGGGAAATACTGTACTACCCATACTATGATACATACTGTAGTAATATATTAGGGAAACATCTGTACTTGCTTATTGTCTGGTTTATTTATCAATGTATCACTAGAGTGGGGGTTCAAAAGATTTTTCTCATTAAATGAATAAGTATATATTGTAATCCATCATGTGGCTTGTGTAAAATGAACATGTCAATGAAATGACAGGCCCACTGAATTGACTTGAAAGCCTTTTTAGTAGCAGTTTTGTTTATAGGGTAGTTTCTTTATGTCCTTGATTTGTTGCTTGTCTGTCTTTGGAGAAAACTGTAGAGGCAGAATAAAGACTTCAGTTGGTGTAAGAGTGACTACATGTCACTGTGCTTTGGAGAAAAACTGACTTTCTTACAGAGGGTCAGCAGACAAAGTCTGTGCACTGTAGCTTGCTTAACCAAATTTCTTATCTAAACTTGACATTTGGGGCCAAATATTAAAGACAAGTTCCAAATGTTATCCCCTGGCTTCCAATTAACCTTTATATTTACTTACCTGGGCAAAGGCCGAGACTTGAGTTATCAAAATAACGAACTGGACGAGGTGCTGGTAAAGACTTGGATCGGTTATCAAAAAACCAAGATTTTGGCGATTCCTTTGGTACTGGATTTTGTACATTTTGTTCCTTGTATTGAGATGGTATATTTTGTATCTTTTTAGAATCTGTTTCAGTCACTTTGGGAGATTTTGGAGAATTCTCACAAGTTACTTCTTTGCAAACCTCTCTTTTAAGGGTTCTTTCCTTCCAAGTTTTGACCTCATTGGAAAGATGCTGATTATTGCTTAAGTGTAGGTAAGAAAAATACATAAATAAATAAAAAGGAAGTTTGCTAGACTGTTCAGTTCTTAAAACGTATCCACATAAAAAAAAAAATCGATAAAAAACTGTGGTGAAATATACCTAACATAAAATTTACCATTTTACCACATTAATATTTTAATTTCAATCTAATGCTTTTTGTTTGGACTATTTCCACAGTTCAAAAAGTGAAATGGGTCTATATAAATTGAATAATTTCAGTAAAACTTTGTCATCATAGAGTTTAAAAATTTCAAGTATAATACTAGGTTTTCAAATTAACTGATATCATCTGGATTGGTTTGTCTATTGATATTTTGATGTAATAATTTAGTCTTTGATGTGATAAATTAGTCTTTCTGGACAGACAAATCTTGTTTGATGAAGCTTTATTTAAAAAATTACATTTCTTGGGGGAATCCAAGATGGCGAGCCAGAGGGAGGCAGCATTCTGGGTTGCTCTGTGACCCAGGTCTCACCGAGTGGGAATACTGCCTCTCTGAGAGTGATAGGGAACCCCTAAACAGCTGCTCTTGCACAGAAATCACCAGTGCTGTGCCTGCGCAGGGCTCTGGGGCTCAGTGTTGGAGCAGGACTCCAGGCTCCTGTCTCCCCCCACCCAAATACTAGCCCCGAAGCATTAGCCCACACAGAGCTCCCGAGTGTATTAGCAGGATCACTGCATCAGCACAGGTACAGAACTTCCAGATGCTGCTCCACACCAACACAGTACAATCAGTCACTACCCACCCATAGGAACTCTGCCGCCACTCCCCTGTAGACCCCATCTACCAATGTGAGACTCCCCAAGTCGTCTCCATCTTGTGACTGACTCTGAAGCTACTGCCATATTCCCCTATGCGGTAATCTACCTGCATCCAGGGACATCTCACGGGCTCTGAAGACAGCCAAAAGCCCCAAGGCTGCACGCCACAGAGCTCATCTCTGAACATATCACACACTATTGCCAGGCTTCCTCCACCCGACTAGGCCTGCCTCCAACTTGGGATACCTTCATCACTATGTTTGGTGGGGGCAGCTCCCAGATCGGAACTTCTGCTGACCAGGTACCCAGTTTCCAACTCCTGCCTCTTCCCAGTGGCCATTAACCCAGAACAGTAACTACCAAACATAAAACAGCTCTCAGTGGGATGGGTGTGCAGTGCGACCAGGGCACCGCCCAAGAGAGCCCCAGTGGGAGAGGTCCCTAGAAGGAGAAGGTAAGACAGTGTGGAGGCTAACAGAGAGACCAGGAACTGGGAAACCTTCAAGCAAGATAGGGAGATAGGACCAGGTGCTCAAGTCATAGGAGCGGAACCAAAAAGAGACCTTTGAAGTGCAGTCTCCCTACAGGGACTGGCGGGTGCCACACCTCACATCCAGGTAACCCTGTCCCAGAACCAGAATTCCCACCCTGGTTACCTTCACTATCATGAGGGTGGAGATACCATCTAACAACAAACCCACCTACTGAATGGAACGGGAAGCAGGAAAGAGACTCATCTCCAACCAAAACAATTAACAATCCTAGTTTCTTTCTTTGAGATTTAAAAAAAAATTTTTCATATTATTTATTTTTTTAAACTTTTTTTCTCTTTTTCTTCTCCTCCTCTATCCTCCTACCCTCCCATCCTCAACATATGTGAAAACAAGTACTTTGTATCAACTAGGATTTTGAGGACTGGAACGTCTGAATAGTATATTATACTGGTGTTGAATATGCCTTTTTTTCCTCCAATTTTTACTATTTTAATATCCTTTATTTTTCATAATACATATGTATTTGTTTTATGTACTCTACTGTCTTCCCACATACTTATCTATCCCAAACTACTTCCTATCTATTCTCCTGCTACTAACACTCTTCATTATTTCTCTTTCACACTTCCTAAGATATACTAACTCTATATTCTCACATCCTGCCTCCTCAGCATATCATCCTACACTTCATTCCCAGTTCATTGTACACTGTCAGAAACTGTAAACCCTTTTACAAACCTACTGATTACATTATAGATAATAATCAAATTCAACATTTCTGTACATTGTGACCAAACTGTATAGGTCTTAATAGCAATGAATTGTTTATAGGTGGTATATTGTTTATATTGGGATCTGTTAACACTGTCCTTCCCCACAAAGGAGATATATTGGAACACCATAAGCTTATAGGGTAAAAACAATAACACCCTGGACCCACAGAGCTGAAAAGAAAGATACACAAGCAAAAGGGAGAAAAGTGCCCCAAACAAATCAAGATATCACATTACTAAAATCATTAGCAGCCACAGCAGAAGAAATGACAGAGAAGGAGTTTAGGATGTACATGGTTACAATGGTCTGTGAATTAAAGGATGGTATAAGAGAGCAAATATGGACAGCAAAAGATCATTTCCACAAAGAGCTACATAAACAGATACAGGAAGCAAAAGATTACTTCAACAGGGAGATAGAGGTTCTAAAAAAACGAAAACAAAAACAAATCCTTGAAATGAAAGAAACAATAAACCAAATTAAAAGTTCAACAGAAAGCATCACCAACAGAGTAGACCACTTGGTAGACAGGACCTCAGACAATAAAGACAAAATATATAATCTTGAAAAAATGTAGACCACACAGTGAAAATGGTAAGAAACCATGAGCAGAACATTCAAGAAATATGGGATATCATAAAAAGACCAAATTTAAGAGTGGTTGGGATAGAGGAAAGCATAGAATTTCAAACCAAGGAATGAACAATCTATTCAATGAAATAAAATCAGAAAACTGAAGAATGAATTGGAAAACCAAATTCAAGAAGCTTACAGGACACCAAATCACAACAGATCCATACCAAGGCACATTATAATGAAAATGCCCAACTACAGAATAAGGAGAGAATATTAAAAGCCATGAGAGAAAGGAATCAGATTACATATAGGGGAAAACCAATTAGGGTAACTGCAGATTTTTCAACCCAGACTCTGAAAGCTAGAAGATCCTGGAACAATGTATCTCAAGCTCTGAGATAATAGATGCAACCAAGAATTTTGTATCTAGCAAAATTAAGCTTTAGATTTGATGATGAAATAAAAACCTTCCATGATGAACAAAAGTTAAAAAAATTTACAGTTAGAAAACCAGCCCTACAGAACATCCTTGGTAAAATATTCCATGAAGAGGAAACGAAAAACAATGAAAATCATCAGAGGGAGGTAGTATCCTAAAGGAAAAACTAATCAGAGGAGAAACCAAGTGAAGTCAAATACCAAAAATAAGCAAAAGTGGCTAGGAATACAAATAATGTCTCAATAATAACTCTGAATGTTAATGGCCTAAACTCACCCATCAAAAAATGGATTTTTTTTAAAAAAAAGACCCAACAATATGCTGCCTCCAGGAGACTCATCTGATAGGAAAAGACATATACAGACTGAAGGTGAAAGGTTGGGAAAATCATACCACCCACATGGACTGCAGAAACAAGCAGGGGTTTCCATCCTCATATCAAATAAAGGAGACTTCAAGCTAAAGTTAATCAAAAGGAATAAAGAAGGACATTTCATACTGCTCAAGGTAACCATACACCAAGCCATAACAATCAAAACAATGTAGCATCTTTGATCATCAAATTCTTCTCAAGTTCAAGAGTCAAACTGACCACAACACAATAATCTTGGGTGACTTTAACACACATCTCTCTCACCACTGGATAGATCTTCCAAACAAAAGCTGAACAAAGAAACTATATAACTCAATAATACAATCAATAACTTAGACTTAACAGACATATATAGATCATTTCACCCTTTAACAAGTGAATACTCTTTTTTCTCAGCAGCACATGGATCCTTCTGTAAAATGGACCATATACTATACTATGACACAAAGCAACTCTTAGCAAATATAAAAAAGTAGAGATACTACCCTGCATTTTATCAGATCTTAATAAAATCAAATTAGAAATCAATGACCAATAAAAAATAAAAATTATTCCAATACCTGGAGACTAAATAATATGCTACTGAATAAACAATGGGTTGGAGAAGACATCAAGGAGGAGATTAAAAATTCTTAGAGGTAAATGAGAACACAGATACAATATATCGAAATCTCTGGGACACTATGAAGGCAGTACTAAGAGGAAAGTTCATTGCATGAAGCTCATTTCTTAAAAGAAAAAAAAGCCAACAAATAAATGACCTAACATTACATCTCAAAACCCTAAAAACAGAAGAACAAATCAACACCAAAAGCAGTAGAAGGCAAGAAATAACTAAAATCAGAGCTGAAATCAATGAAAATGAAACAAAAGAAACAATTGAAAAAATTGACAAAACAAAAAGCTGGTTCTTTGAAAAAATAAATAAAATTGATAGACCTTTAGCTATGCTAATGAAGAGAAGGAGAGAGAAAACTCAAACTACTAATATACGTGATGAAAAGGTAGTATCACAATAGACACTACAGAAATACAGAAGATAATTAGAAATTATTTTGAAAACTTGTACTCCAATAAAATAGAAAATACCAAAGGCATGGACAAATTTCTTAAGTCATATGATTTGCCCAAATTGAATCAGGATTATATCCACAATTTAAATAGACCAATATCAAGCGATGAAATAGAAGAAACCATCAGAAGCCTAGTAACTAAGAAAAGCCCAAGACAGGATGGATACACAGCTGAGTTCTACAAGAAGAACTAAAACCAATACTCTTCAATTTATTTCACAAAATAGAAAAAGAGGGAGTACTTCCAAACTCATTCTATGAGGACAATCTCATCCTGATTCCAAAACTAGGCAAAGACACATCAAAAAAGGAAAACTTCAGACCAATCTCTCTAACGAACATAGATGCAAAAATTCTCAATAAAATTCTGGCAAATCAAGCACAAAACATATCAAAAAGATTGTGCACCATGATCAAATGAGATTCATCCCAGGGATGAAAGCTTGGTTCAACATACTGAAATCAATAAATGCAATTCATCACATAAATAGACTTAAAGAATCATATGTCCATCTCAATAGATGCAGAAAAGGCATTTGACAAAATCAGCACCCCTTTATGTTCAAAACGCTAGAAAAATGAGGGATACCAAGGACATTTCTCAACATCATAAAGGCTATCTATGCTAAGCCCCAGGTCAACATCATTCCAAGTGGAGAAAAAAGACCTTCTAAAAAGTAGAACAAGACAGGGATGCCCTCTCTCACCACTTCTATTAAACATAGTTCTTGAAACACTGGCCAGAGCAATTACACAGATGAAAGAAATTAGAGGGATACAAATAGGAAAAGAAGAACTCAAATTAGCACTATTTGCTGATGATATGATTCAATACCCAGAAGACCCTAAAAGTTCCACAAGAATACTTTTAGAACTAGTAAATGAATTCAGCAAAGTAGCAGGATATAAAATCAACACCCATAAATCAAAGGCATTTCTGTATATTAGTGACAAATCTTCTGAAAGGGAAGTGAGGAAAACTACCCCATTTACAATAGCCTAAAATAAAATAAAATACTTGGGAATCAATTTAACAAAAGAGGTGAAAGACCTATACAATGAAAACTACAGAACCCTAAAAAAAGAAATCAAAGAAGACCTTAGAAGATGGAAAGATCTACGCTGCTCTTGGATAGGCAGAATTAATATTATCAAAATGACTATACTACCAAAAGCACTATACAGATTTAATGCAATTCCACTAAAAATCACAATGGCATTCCTCATAGAAATAGAAAAAGCAGTCATAAAATTCATCTGGAAAAATAAAGAGACCCAGAATAGCTGAAGCAATCCTTAGCAGGAAGAGTGAAGCAGGTGGCATCACTATACCAGAACTTAAATCATACTATTGAGTGATAGTAACCAAAACGGTGGGTATTGGCACCAAAACAGACTAGTAGACCAATGGTACAGAATAGAGGATCCAGAGACTAACCCAGAAAATTAGAATTATCTTATATTAGACAAATGTGCCAAAAACATGCATCAGAGAAAAGATAGCTTCTTCAACAAATGATGCTGGGAAAACTGGATATCCATATGCAACAAAATGAAATCAAACCCCTACCTTTTCACCATGCATAAAACCCAATTTAAAGTGGATCAAGGACCTAGGAATTAAACCAGAAACCCTGTTCTAATAGAAGAAAAAATAGGCCCTAATCTTCATCATGTGGGATTAGGTCTCGACTAAAGGAAGACTTAATAAGACTCCTATAGCGGAAGAATTAAAATCAAGCATCAATAAATGGGATGATTTCAGACTAAAAAAATTTTTCTCAGCAGAAGAAACAATCAGTGAGGTAAATAGCCTACATCTTGGGAACAAATTTTTACCCCTTACACATCAGAAACAGCAGTAATCTCCAGGATATAAAAAGAACACAAAAAACTAAACACCAGAAAACTAAATAACACAATCAATAAATGGGCCAAGGACCTGAACAGACACTTCTCAGAAGATGATATACAATAAACAAATATATGAAAAATGTTCATCATTTCTAACAATTGGAGAAATGCAAATCAAAACTACTCTTAAGATTTCATCTCACTCCAGTCAGAATGGCAGCTATTAAAAATACAAACAACAACAACAAAAAAGCACACTCATACATTTTGTGGGACTGCAAATTGGTGCAGCCATTATGGAAAGCAGTTTGGAGGTTCCTTGGAAAACTGTGAATGAAACCACCATTTGACCCAGCTACCCTACTCCTTGGTCTATACTCAAAGGACTTAAAAACAGCATACTACAGAGACACAGCCACATAAATGTTTATAGCAGCACAATTCACAATAGCTAAACTGTGGAACCAACCTAGATTCCCTTCAGTAGATGAATGGATAAATAAAATGTGGTATATATACACAATAGAATATTACTCAGCAATAAAAGAGAATATAGTCATGGCATTTGCAGGTAAATTAATGCAGTTGGAGAATATAATACTAAGTGAAGTTAGCCAATCCCCAAAAACCAAATATCAGATGTTTTCTCTGATATAAGGAGGCTGATTAATAGTAGGGTTGGGAGGGGGAGCATGGGAAGATTAGAAGAACTCTAGATAGGGCAAAGGGGTCGGAGGGGAAAGGAGAGGGCATGGGGGTAGAAATGAGGGTGTCATGAGATGGATATAATTACCCTAAGAACATGTATGAAGACATTAATGGTGTGAATATACTTTATATACAACCAGAGATATGAAAAATTATGATTTATATGTGCAATATGAATTACAATGCATTCTACTGTCATGTAACAAATTAGAATAAAAAATTTTTTTAAAATTACATTTGTTTCATCTGACCTAATTTCTGTTCATTTTTTAGATCTATTCTTAGAGTTTAAGTTTTTTATCACCACATTCTCTCTCCAACACCTAGATTTGCTCTTTCATAATGACCTTTTACACTTGTTAGCTTTGTTTATAAAGTAAAAGTAAATAGGCTATGGTAACAGACTTAAAGGGTTCTCTGTTGAGTATAGCTTCATTGACTTGTGGTATATCTCTGCTGTCCCCTCAAAAGTCTTTGTTTACTTTCTTGACTTAGTTAAAAACAGGTTAGTTGATGAAAACATCTGGGTTGGTGGTAGTATATTCTTTTTTTAAAGGCATTTACTATATAAACTCTAAAATTTACTTTCCTCATAACATATGAAGGGCTGTCAACTATACAAAATACAATCCCCCCACCCAACTGATGTAACAGCCATAAGCACATTAACTATCACACAATCAAATCTTACCTCAGCAGGTCATTCTTTTGCTTTATTAGCTGCTCATTTTGCTGCTTTAACTTAGAAATTTCCTTTTCTAGCCTTATGTATTCACTTTTCAAAATAAGTGCTTTTGTGCTTTGTATGATGCCACTGCCACCACCACAGGTTATGGGCTTATTTGAAGGCTGAGAATCAGTATGTTCTGATATCACTGTGGAAAGCAAAAACATAAATAGGTGGTATTTTTTTAATATAGTGTAATTTTGATTATCTTCAAGATTTAAAATAAATAAGAAAAACTATAAAAATTCAAACATTTCCACCATTACCGTGGAAGTCATTGTAGACTTGTCCTTGTACCTCACCTACCTACCCAGCCTGTTTGATCACCAGTTCTATTTTTTTCTTTTAAAGAGAGAG